AGCTCCGACTTGAAGCGGTGGTGTCTAATTGGTGAATGCCTCTGCGGAAAAGATTCAGGACAGTAAACTATGTTACAACGGATTTTATAGGTCACATTAGGCTGAGTTGAGCTCCTTGTATATAGGGGCAATTTTGTACAGGTATTGAAAATTGTGCAGATTTTTGGAATATTGAGTTTAAGTACTGTGTGCAGTTATTCTTGCGAGTGTAGCTGTATAGTGTTTGATAATGAACTTGGGGACATGTGAACGTTAAAGTGTAGTGTTTGATGTGTATTGGTGAAAGTGTGTGATGGTGTGGTGTTGTGCCGAGGAAAGATCAGTGAAAAGGTACGGTGAGAGAATGTGATGTGCCAGCCACACACGATTAGGCACAAGTGATGACAACGAAAGAAGGCCGAAATTGCAGGAAAGGAGAACGGAAATAAGCAGTTTTTTTTTTTTTAAAGCTTTTTAAAAGGAGGCCCAATGATCTGGTGAGTAAAGGAGATGCATGAGACGCGTGCCAAACCTAGAAGTGTGGCGACATGCACGAGGGAAGAGTCACCCGATGGCACGCGCACCTGCCATGTAGAAGCAGGAGATTGGTCGGAGAGGGGCTCGTGGCACGAAACTCGAGCTGAGAAGAAAAATTTCAGAGGATATGCAGCACTGTGTGTTGGGACCCTGAGCTGCGAAGACTTGGGAAGCGAACGTCCCTACGGGGACAGGAGCAGCATGATCACCCGCGAAGTTGCCGTCGACCTCGGAGATGGTCCTAAGTGAGGCTGCCCGGACTTGCCGCATCCTGCCCAGCAGTTCCCAGTAGACTTGCAGCTTCCCCACAACGCATTAGGAAGGAAGCAGCTCACACCAGTCAGCCGAGTGGGCGCATCAGCGAGGGAGTCCTTGACGAGCGGCGCCTAGCCAGGCCGAGGACTGAGACACCGGCAATGCAGACGAGTGGATCGTGAAGCAGACACACGCTGCCGCTGATGACGGTGAAGCAGTACCACTTCATCGTATCTCCGAGGGTGGCGTATGAACAGTAAGAATGTTCTGTTATTACGAGAGCGCATGAGAGTCGCCACCGAGACGCCATTTTGGCTAGGGACAGTTTAAGGTTTAAGACTGAACATGACTTGTATCTGTGTTAGTTACGGTATCGCTGTATAGCCGATTATTGTGTACGGGCATGTTTATTTTTAAGGGTGAATTTCGAGTGTCAGATTGTGTGCCATTTTGTATAGTATTAAAATGGGTTTGCCGCGTTACCACCAACTTGCGTCCATCCTTCATAATATCCATCCTTCGTAATATCCTGTTCCGAGATAAGTTCGTGACAGGGCATTAATATGGAATTCAGAAAAAGCAACAGGACGCGTAATAACTGTTCCTTAGTTCTTTCTTTCTGAATAAAAGTTTGCAACTTGTGTCATACTGAAAGAGATTACCTATGCAAGCTTGAGAAACTGTGATTGAATGTTGTCTATAAAGGAAATGTCATTGGAGCCATGTTTTGACGTGTGCTCCCAGTGATGCTACCCTTTTTCGATACTCTAGTTATTTCAAGGTTTCGTCCTCCCCTGGAGATGTGTGAATTGGGTTTCTAACAGACAGAGTGGTTCTTGAAAATTTGTACACACAGCCTTGAAAGTCCTTGAAAACCATTGAGTTTTTGTCATGTAAACGAGCATGAACCCTGTAAAGTGAACTACTTGCACTGTGTACTCAAGGGTTAAATTTCACTCATGCCTTGATTGTTGCCCTCCATTGGATAACCCTCCTGATTATTTCTACCTGCTTTAAGTTCATTGTTCCTTAACCCCAATGCTTTGGAAAATTCCGCACTAACATTGTGCATATAGAATGAAGCCCTTCACAGAACGCTTCATATTCCTCTCCACACGCACTGCATAACATATCTATGCCTTTGCATTTGGCTCGGTAAGTCTTAGTGTGCAATACTCCTGTCCCATACAGCGCGCCTAGACGTGGCTAGAAGTTATAAGAAACACACAAGCCCGTCTAGGTGCGATGTTTCATGTCCAGTATGTAGCAGCTGGCCCGCCAGCAGTTTGTGTTGCAACTCACTTCTGTCCCGTCTTCGAACAGCCCCAACAATTATTATAGATATTTTTCGTTGGCAATTTCCTTCTTGAAAGTTTTCTAGGTTTCCAGTGATGATTTCCTAAGCATGCCTATTTTCCCCGTGCCCCTTTCTTAATCAGTGGTTCCATTTGGTTTATTGGTATCCTGCTGCTTTCTAAGTATTGTAACAACATTCCTCATTTACAACTAGCTGAAAACTTTACTAGACCAATGCTTCTCTGCAGTTCCTCTCCTTAAATACGTGATGCGCAACATGGTCGCTGACAGTGAGACAGTTATGTGGCAGTGCTGCACATTCTTTGTACATTCTTCAAGTGTTAGTGATGGAAAGTATTTCATATTGTGGGTGACATGAACCATCTCTTTTGCGGCAACACAAAGCTCTGCGTCTCGTCACACGACCTGTTTCGTAGCGACAGGAAAGAACGAAATCTAAACAATATATTATACAGTTTTTGTAATGACAATTTTTTTCTCATGTGCATGTATCTTCAAGGTAGAAATTTAATTGTGTTTTCAAAAATGTGTAAAAACAAGACAGGGAAACTCGTGTTATCCAGCCAATGAAATCGGCACTGAAGGTCAAATTCTGTTCAAGACAATTTATTTACTTCAGTCGTTATAGAATGCAGATCAGTATCTGCACGTCATGCACAAAATATTGATTATGGAGTAAAATATGGAGTAACCATAGATCTCATTTGCAATATTTTTGCATTGCGACTCATCATCCTCAAACGGCGAGTTGAATGTCAATTCAGGATGTGCATGGTTTTTCGTCCACTTTATAATAGCTCGTTACAACCGGAAAGAAAGATTAACACGCTCACTTGTGAATATTCACCCTGCAGATTTAGCAGAACAGCATAATACAGTCAAACCACTGTGCAATGTAAAAGTTGGAAGTCTTATGCAGCATCTGTGATGCCATATATATTTATATCAGCATAAAGTTCTCATTATATTGCGTTATTCATAAAATACAAAGTACCGTTGTTTTCTTGGAGTGTACCGACTTTATATGTCAAAGTGTCATTTAAAAAAGATATGAACGAGCGAATTAATTAACTTGTTTTCTCTAGAATCATGTTTTCAAAACAAAAATAATACAGCCCACTGTGACCTCCATCAAACAATTCATTGCACCAGTTTTACTTAAACTAGTTGTATGCATTTTTCCTTATTTCACTGAATTGAAGAGCTCTTTCTGCAAGCGATGCGAGGTGAACGAAAGCACACAGGAACACTGCATTCAAGAGGAAATGTGGAGGCTTCGCTGTACAAAATGGCAGGGAATAATTAATGCACCATCTGTGTCAGTGAAAAAGTGAATTCATTTTGTTACTAGCACAACTACTTTTGGGCTAAACTTATTTGCACCATTGCCATCCAAGGCCAGTCCTTGGCAAGTGCACTTTCAGTCACTGCCAAGACTACTGGTTTTACTAGTAAACTAAATTCTTGGAACTTCCCTATTTTCTGTTTATGGCAGCTTATGCAGCTGCAATAAAACTAGCAGCAATGCCCTACTTGTAGCACTACATATTTGCTTCGCACATGGGCCCTAAGGCGTACATTACGTCAGGTAAACTAACAAGTGACGCATAGTGATGCAAATTGACATTTGAGTTGGTTTGATGATAATACAGTTTTATCACACTGTATGTACATAACAACAGAAATATGTGGCAGTACATGTACAAATAGTTGTTTTGCCTTATGCTTTGATAAACTTAATTGATTTTATTCAAGTCTGTGCAATGATATGCTTAGGACTAAAGGTCCTCCTACCTGTGACAACCATAGGTACATAGGCACTATCTGTAGGTTGCAAGGAAATGGAAATTACATTAAGGAAATATTTCCAGCCAAGAACGGACAAACACAGGAAACAGTGATGGAGACAAGAAAGCAGCTAGACAGCTTAATCGCCAAAGCGAGGCACACATCGCCTTCACAGCAATCACATAAACCGAAAAGCACAATATAAAACTGATGTGCAAGCACTGTGTGTCATCTTTATTTGCTCCTCAAGTTTATAGGAAATCTTGTTGCTTTCTGTACAATGTCACAGAGCTATCACTGCAACATGCTTCGTCATTCTTTGCAGTCTGATAAGTATTTCACCTGTCGTCACTTCTGCCCAAAATCTTGATTTTGTAAGCTTACGTTTGCACTGTTCACAATGAAGGGCCAAATTCCAGCCTGTTTCCTTGTTTAGTGATTTAAAGTGTTTCTAGGCTCTAAGATTTACACGACTTATCTGGCCTATTTCAGCGGTCAGCGTGTGAAATATACATCAATACTGATATCCAGAGTATAGTCCACGGTTATGTTTTAACACAAGGTGTCTGCATGTGATGCCAATGAAAAGAAAAGCTTGAACCCTACCATATTTGTGTAGCTGATAAACATGCTTATTAAGAAAACGGGGACGAAGAGAGGCGTGGGGCGGGTTGCTAGCAAAAAGTCCATGGGCTACACGTTCAGAACCTCTGCCTTGGGGCATTTACCCAGCTTACACTGTGGCTCAAGGAACCACAGTGTAAGCTGAGCTGAGCCACCAGATAAGACAGTTTGTGAGAAATGCCTAAATTTAATTGTCAGCAAGTTTTTACTTGAAATTTCAGCAACCAATGTTTCAACTTGGCTGACCATCTTGGAAGATACAGTGCCTGCATGCTTGCACATTTCCGTAGCCATTACAATGCTGCTGTTCAGACAATGCCGAAAAATTGTAGCAAAGTGCTTGATGTCCATTAATTCATGTAATGAAGAAAGAATGCACAAAGACTGCCATTCTTCATCAATTCTACAAAGTCAACAGTTTAATATATGTCGGCTAAAGTATGGAGAAAGTGCAGTGTTGACTAACGCAGATAAAGAATCTCCTTTCTTCTCTTACACAGAAAACAATGACAAACTCTCTGCTCGCACACCAAGCATTGGCCGCATCACAGGAAGTGCCAGCATTGAAACACTGGTTCGTGTGGGCATTGAGAAAGAACACGGCCTGTCACCCGACTCAAAAGTGGTAGTGCTGCACGATTTCACACCCTGTGTGGACGACGAGCTTGAGGTGCGACGTGGTCAAATTGTCAATGTGCTGTACCAGGAGAACGACTGGGTGTATGTGATTGCTTCCGAGACCGGTCAGGAGGGCTTCATTCCCCACTCGTACTGTGCTCCCTATGGCAGCCAGCTGGGAGAGTTGGCCTTGACAGTGCGTCACAAAAAGCTGCCACGTGGACTGGACGATGACCTGTTGGAGCAGGCATCATCGCGTGGGACACACTCGGTCGACAGCGGACAGCAATCGGACGCTGAAAGCTTTGGTGTGGCCCCTGCCACTGAACACTCCGCGACTCTTCCAGATGTGCACCCATTCTTCAAGGACCCAGCCGGGCGTTATGTGGTGTTGTACACGTTTGTGGCTCGTGACGAAAACGACGTGAGTGTTGAACGTGGTGAGCTGGTGACGGTGTTGAATCATGAGGACCCGGACTGGTTCTGGGTGCTCCGTTCCGACGGCCAGGAAGGCTTCGTGCCCAGCGCATTTGTGTGCCCGGCAGACTCTGCACAGGGTGAGAACTGTTTTAATTCATTCGACTATATGTAGAGTGGTTGGGAAATTCTTTTGGGTGGGTGTTTCCAACAAAAAGTAAAAGTAGTGCCCACTGGTAGGTATTGCACATTTCAACACCCAGCTGTCATTCTCATGTAGTAAGTGTGCATCAAATTAAAAGGCTGGCAGGCGCACTTTCACATCTGTTTAACGCTTCATAGCGTGTACAAATGTAGCATTGTGCGAAATATTTTATTGGTCACACAATGAACACAGATGATTAAGTTAATTTTAATTGGCCATTCTGGACATTATATTGCATTTCAAATACTGCAGCCGAAGAACCAGAGCCAAAGTTTTCATGGACATGCAGCATAGCTGTACTGGGTACAAGTGTCTGATACTTACATGCCGCCATGCACAATAATTAATTGAGCAAGAATTAAGGTTTCTAATACCCCTGTCGCATGAGGCAACTTAAATTCACTCTTAAGAGAGTGCACTTAACCATTAGTTACAGGCTTTCACATGAACACCTGCTGCAAAATGCACTTGCCGGCGAGTGCGTCGTTGCTGCAACAGTGTGTCTGGCTTGTGAATATATGTCCAAAATCGGGTTCATAGCAGTCATCATTTTCATTAACAGGAACACTGTGATGCATTAAAACGGGATATACTACAAACCTGCTATTCTCTCTCCCAAGCAGTTTACAGCCACAACTGCAAGAGGCATGCCCAGAACCCACCAAATCGTCGCAACCACTGTGTCTGCACGTGAAGTTTATTTCAAGGACTGATTATAGCAGTAGCACATTACTACTTAAGAACCATTGTCTGAAATAAGAAATATCTGCTGTGCTACTTAGTTACCCATTTTCACGGCCATCATTTACAAAGTGTAACAGCAAAGTGACACTTAGGAGCGTAAGTGCACTCGCTCAAAATGACGCTTTTGCCAGCGTTTCCAGGGTATGAGTGTCACTTGCTGCCATGGTGTAAGAAAAATAATTTAGGTGTGGACACTCCGCCCTCCGCGAAGGAGAATGCATCCAGATATTGTTCGCCTTTATTACATGCGCCCGCCGCAGTGTCGTGGGGGGCGCTACGACATGGGGGCTTAAGAAACCTATTGTGACGAGGCGAACGCGCGTTTTTCTTTGTTTTTTTTTTTTCGTCTTGCATATTTTTTTTAACCGTGCACGCTAGCAACTAGAGCAAGGAACGCATACTGCGTTTTTCGCAACCATGCTCGCGACCAAAAAATGCGATATGCGGCGAACGCCGGAATTGGCTCCACAGCGTTAGGAAAAAAAAAAGATTATTCTTCTCACGTGCGCAATGCCATTACGGATGCTACACACTCAGCTCGTCCATGGCTCGTCTTCTATAGTACATGTGCCGGCCGCGGTTGCGTGGGAGGCGCTGCGACATGGGGGCCGAAAAGAGGAAAGAGGCGAACATTATGTGGATGCGCCGTGAGGCGGAGTGTCCACATCTAAATTATTTTTCTTACACCGTGCCCGCTGCAAAGCACACTTGCTGGCGAGTGAATTCACCAAGCTCTCTTCACTGCAATGAATTGTCTAGTCTCAGTAGCAGTGGAGTAAAGTCGTTATTCGATGCTGAGTACTTTTTAAACTATCAGGAATATACTGATGCATTACAATGTGTGGTATGGCAGAACACTACTTTGATATTCTACAATGGCCGTCATGGGCATGCTGAACACACGCCATGCAATGGCCACAGCTTCAGTGTTAGTACATAAAGTTAGTTTTACGGGCTGCTTATTACGCGTCATCATTAAGAAACATTGTCTAGAATAATGAATATTTGTTATTAAGTAGCCATAATTTCCAAAGCACACTGCAAAAGTGACGTGCAGGGTGCATAAGTGCACTTGCTCTGTCTGCAGAAATGACTTCTTGCAATCACTTTCCACTGGTGCACATAGTTTGGCACTCTGCGACAACATAAGTATTGTGAAGATCACTCTGCACAATTTTATGCCTCATTGCCTCGTACACAGGCTTACAGAAAGGTGGGTGCTTGAAAAACTATGTGGGCTGTACATATGCCATTACTGATTACATTCACTGCCATCAAACACATAGGACCACCATCTGTTAAGCTTACTCCCCAAGAAGTTCCTTACAGGTCTTTTTTTTTCCTTTAAGCATTAGGCTTAGATGACAGGTGGCCGACTGCATGCTTGAAGACGGTCTGTCAGTAAATAACGAATCCGCATCGTTAATTCAGGGCTTCATTCTCACAATATGTTCGCAGTCAACTTGCACTGCCCATCCATGCCTATCCAACTTGTGCTGCCCATCTAAGGCTAGCTGCCTTGAGCACTTTATATTTTGCTGTTACTTTGGAGGGAAAAAAAAATAAATAACTGGAGGTGACCTTGATCTTTAACATTGGTGTCTTGCAGTGACCCTTGCCTGTAAGCATTCATGCGTCCTAGTGGATTGCCTAGTGCCCAAGAAGATATACACCAGTGAGCCCACCAACCCTCTTCCAGTTCACTGGACAGAGAGAACAGCAACTGATGGCATAAGCAAGCGCACACTCTTATATATAAGAGTACAAGGGGTGCGACAGTTTTTGGGCACGAGAACAGGTACAAGCCCCATCCTATGATGTAGGTGAAGCCAAGGCCATGTAACCCGGTCCACAGTTGGTGCAACATGGCGGACATCAGGGAGAGCACAAGAAGGATGTGACGTTGTGGAGAGATAGTCATATTTGCAAGATGTTTCAGCGCACGAACAAAGAAAAAAAGGACAGGGTAGACAGAAAGAGCGCTGTCTACCAACTAGCCCAAGCTTCTACTCTTGTGTGGAGATAGGTTTGCTGGAAAAGCTTACCCTATGAAGAGACCGGGAAGGGACACGACGTTCTCGACTGCTGTCGCACTCAAGGACGCTACGGCTGGGGTCGCTAACTCTACGAAACTACGCAGAGGTAGCACTCTAAGCAGTTCATCACCAAGCACAGTACAACAATCATGGGCTGGTAGGGAAACTCCGCAAGACCGATTGAGCACCCTAACCTGCGGCACAATTGTTGCCACACAAACGTAAGCGCGTGATTGGGAAGTCGTTCACAAAGTCAGACCACGGCTTCTTTGTTGCAGGAATGCAAGCATTCCTCACAGCGCACTATCGCCATGCGGAAGCAAGCTATGGAGAAGGGGGCCGTCACGGGTGGCCAATGAGGAACGACAAAGCACCGTGACGTGCGCTAGCGGGACACTAGGGGAAGGCATTGTCCGGGCATGTTCGGACACTTGTTTCCGTGCAGGGAAGAGTGACACATGGCTTGCACCAGATAAAAAGGCCCCACGGTGAAGCAATGATGGCCATGTTAGTGATTAATGGCAGTTCCCGAAGCACGAGGACGATGGGGCCAGCACTCTGGCTGGAGAACGAGATTCTAAAGGGATGGGTGCCTTCGATTCCCACATCTTGAAGGGGTCCGCTCTATGCACAGCTGGTGCAGAAGCCTAGCTATAGTCCCAGCCGCACACTGTGGCACCATGCACTATTAATGTCCCCTTGCCGTAGCTCGAGTCATCGCAGCTACGATGGGTTTAGATGAATGAGGCAACCGACAGGCTAGATCAACAAATAACAAGCATCTTATTGCTACAATAGCAATAATGTGTGAAGAGGGATCGTCTGCCCTATGAAGAGAACAAAGGGTAAGATTTACTCCTTTAGTAAATGACCATGGCTCACAGAGGTTTCAGAGGTGGCCGCTTGCTGGTACAAGAGTCCTTCTTCCTGTCTCTTCATTGGTTTTGTTCACAGAGGCCTTTCAGCGTCTCTCTCTGAAGGACCAGTTTGTCCTCATGGCCGTGCCTCCATCAAGGAAAATGAAGCGTGGGCGCATGTGCTCTCTGACAGTCTACACACCAATTGTTCGTGGTACTTTAGTGTATATTAAATTATAGCATTGCTTAATGCACACTCTATCATTCACAACACTTTGCTTAACTCATTCCATCCCCTTCAATTCGGTGGCTAGGAGTTGTGGTGCATATTACTTGCGTGCTAGGTAGGCTAATACCAGCACACCCCTCATAGGTATGGCTGTCGGCGCTCTGTGAAAATGCTGTGCATTCACAGAGCGCCGACACAGCATTCTGAGAAGGCCTCTTTCGGAATGGAGTTGCAGCCATAATGTCCTCCTTTGTCTCAAATCACTCTCCTTTCAATGTCGTCTTGAGTTTGGGAAACAGCCAGAAGTCGCAGGTGGGCCATATGAGGAGAGTAAGGAGCTTGTTGAACTACAGGGCTTCTCACCAAAAAAGTCTGAACCAAGGAATGTGCAGGAGCACTGTTGTGATTGATGGATGCGCCGCACAGCATAACGTAGGCAACAGAGGACATGCCTGTAGTATCCTTTGGTGATTGTTTGACCCTGTGGTGCGTACTCGTGGTGTACCATACCATGGGAGTCGAAGAAAGCACTCAGCATCATTTTGATGTTGCTGCGCACTTGTCGGGCCTTCTTTGGTCTTGGTGATGTGGAATGCTTCCACTGTGACAACTGGGATTTCGTTTCTGGGTCGTGCTCGTACACCAAAGACTCGTCACCGATGATAATGGTGTTTATGAAGTTAGGGTCACTGCTTGTGAAATCCAACATGTCCTGTGAGACTTCAACACAAAGTTGCTTTTGCTCCACCGTGAGCAGTTATGGCATGAATTTCGCCGCAACTCTCTTTATGGCCAAATATTCTGTCATAATGGAATGTGCACAAAAGGTGCTGAAGCCCACCCCTTTCACAATTTTCCGGATGGTCACACGATGGCCCTGCTTCACCACAGCCTTCACTTCGGTAATGACCTGGTCATTTTAGCATGTTGATGGCAGACCAGAGCGTGGCTCACTTTCTGCTGATGTGCAGTTGTCTTTGAACCGGTTTTACCACTCTTTAATCTGTTTGCGGCTCATAGCATCGTCACCAAAAGCCGTCTTGATCATTCCAAACGTTTCCACTTGGCTGTCGCCCAGTTTTCGGCAACATTTGATGCGGTAGTGCTGCTCCAGCCGCTTTGTCATTTTTCTTGCAATGAAAAACCGACGAGAGCACACTAGCACTACTTCACTCAAATGCTGCGTCCCAAAAACTGGCGCTATTGGCAAGCGGGAAAAAATTCACGCATGTGCACGAAGACTCAAGGTCAGCTGATGCAAGCGCGCTTCTTTCAAATCCATCAGCTGCTCGCAAAAAAAATATAAGGCCGGATACTTTCCTAACAGACCTCATATGTAGAAATTTAGTGACAGGCCGTGTACCAAGGCCACTACACTCAATTATATTGCCACCTGGTGTTCTGAGCCGGCAATTTGCGACCAGCCGAAAAGGGCAAAGTGTGTTAGCCCTTCGTTCACAATACTCTTTCATGTCTTACTGCTTTGTTGCTCTTGTATCTACGGCCGTTAGTACGTGGCAATATCATTTCCCTTCACACTGGTTCCAACTGGAAACCTTTCTCTCTCACTTGCTTCATTATGAACATGGCACGTCCTGAAACTTTCTTCATTTGGTGAGTAGCCATGTTACACATCCTGGAAATGGCGGTCACAAACAAATGCATGTCTGCCAACAGTGTACACTGCGGGTCAAGCCACTGTAGCATCTCTGCATTTGGAAAGCTGCTTTGGCCCTTTCACTTCTGTTGAGTGATGCACATTGCTTTTACAGAACAGTGTGTCCATCATACACAATGAACATACCAGCTGTTTTTCAGTGCGTGAATTATAATTTTTGTTGCCATGTGAACAGTGCAAGTGGCAGGTATTCCTTAATTTGCAGCTATTTAGTTTAACCCTTTTAAAACCAAAGAAAAAAAGTAACTTGCCAAAATTGACAAAGACATTTTCACTTTGCAGAGCTGGATAAAGCGGTACCATTATTTCAATGAAATATTGTTTCTTCATTTGTGTACGCACAACTACAATAGCCCACAGAGGAGCAATTTTCGTTGATGTCATCCTGCTGTTGTAGCAATTTCATGACTATACTTGCCAATGGTCGGGAAAGGGGTTACGTTATGGGTCTATTATGGCTTAAAGTCTCTGTCAGTGCTTCCCCAGAGATTCTGACAGCCTCCTAGCCTTTATGTTTCCTAGACTGTTGGGCTAAGACTGATCTTTTCACTATTCCAGAGAGCCAAGGAACTGTGCATGGGGCCATGCAGTCGGGCAGTAATGCGGTGTCTGCCAGTGGCCATCATGGCAATGTGTCGAGCACTGCTGTTGCTGCCGAAGAGCTGCGTTTCCACGGCAGTGAGCTGGTGATGCTTTATGACTACAAGGCACAAGCCCCCGATGACTTGACTGTGCGCCGCGGTGACTGGGTCTATGCAGACCTCGCTAATCAGACAGTGGAAGGGTGGCTTTGGGCTTATGCACCAAAGGTGCACAAGTATGGTTTCATCCCAAAGGCCTATGCTCGGCCACCTGCCATGACATCATTATGATCCTCGTATTCAGGAGTAGTATCGGAAAGGAATGCATACAATGTTATTTTATTTGCTCGTTTAGTAAACCCAATGCACTCTCGATCTTTCTTTACTTTCCCTACGTGGTTTTACATGGCTGTGTTTTGATCACACTTAATATTTTAGAGGCCACCACATTCATGGCATTGTATATTGCAGGTTATTCTGCTACTTGTAAACTCTTTTTCAGTAATATTGAAAGTTGGGGGAGTTGGTGATGGTTCATGTTTTCTTGTGAAGCAGCATACAAGGCCTCGACTTGTGCGCTGCTTCGCAAGTAATTTCTTTCATTAACTTTTTAGTTTTGTGACCGTACCAGCTTGATTCAGAAAACACCCAGACAGTGTAAGCAAAATAAGTAGCGCAGCGATTACCCTATTTACTCGCATAATCCTCGCACTTTTTTTGGCGGAAAACCGATACAAAGTTAGGGGGTGCGAAACTTTTCACAAAAGTTTTCACAAAAACATACAGAGTGAAAAAGAAAACGAAGTGACCGCAGATCAAGATTCTTACACCAGCAACTGACAGCAAGCTTTGAGAAGTAATAATTAAAATTTACCTCAACAGTAAAAGCGGAGGCTCAACACAAAGCAAGATTTATTTGAGACACAAAAAAGTGCAAGCAAATAGCATACTCAAAGCTTGTGGGCGTTGCCGGCGTAGCGGTAGCGTTCGTTGCTCAACAGCAGCCCTCAAAAGGTAAGCGTAGGACGTTAGTATTCATCTGATGGCTATTAAACAGAATCGTCCGCAGTTTCCTTCTGAAGAAATGAAGTTTACCATCGATCTCGGTCTTAGGCACACGGCAGGCCCAACGCGTCTTGGTAGTTTTCAGCTGCCACCACCAGTAGCGTACACAAAACTCGTCGACTCCGAAGGGCCTACCGGAGGACCTGTTGCCATTGTTTAGTGTATGATCAATCACTTTCAACTTGAAAGCAGCCGTGTAGCTATCATGTAGCTTCAGTATTGCCTTATAACGTGACAAGATTACCGACACAACATACAAAACTCCGCCACGTGCACTTGCCGCTTCGGCTTTGGCTTGGATTGAACCTCTGTGCATTAATAGTACGCTTTATGCTTAAGAGATGGTGCCAGATGCCGCACGCTATCATCATCAACGGCTGGAATGAGCAGGCGATATTATTGCGGCAATTTTCGGGGTTACAATAATTACTTGAGGGGGGAAAAAAACATATTCTTGTTGGGCGATGTGGGGGGTGCCAGAATCATGCGAATGCGAGGAATACGCGAGTAAATACGGTATAAGGACCTTCTTGCTAAGGGTACCTACAACACATTGTCAGTGGAACGTGTCAGGGGTACTGGCAAAACATTGTCAACTACAGTGACCTTGGATACTTTAGCCATCTTATTACGCAACATCTTTTGGTGCAACAGGTGCGCCAAAAACCATGATAATTGCTGAAATTGCACCACGATGTGCCAGAATGCCCGACCAGCCTCCAAATTTTCTTAGTTGTGCTAACTTAACAAAGTAAAGGCCTCATTGGCCACCTGCAGTTTGCGCCATCAATCGAAATCCAAGCGCACCGACCCTAACGCTCAACCACGGTGTAAGATGTATATTCATTATATCGGGACACTCAGGAGACAATATCGACATAATAAAGTAACAACACTGTGTGCCCATATGTCTGCTGGCCGCAGAGTATGCTGATCGGCGGGACGACACAACTTAAAGGCTAATAAAAATGCCTCCACCTCCCAAGATAATCGTGAGGAAATGCGAATGCATTTCTTGCACCGAGAGAGGGCATTGTTGCCGTGAGACATTCACTTCACCGACTTCTGCCATCGCCTTGAGAGGGGCCCAGCCAGCGAGCGGTCAAGAGTGAGGAGCGGGCGGACGGGGAGAGTAGGACGCCAGCGTTTTCAGCTCTGCATTGGCGTTGCACAGCGGCGTCTCGAGCACACATTTCCGGATGTTCTTTAGAGGCACCCAGCCAACAGACGGTCGAGAGTGAGGCACGAGTGGATGGGAGAGTGGGGTGCAGGGAGGAGAGAGAGAAAATGGCAAGAAAAAGAGCTCAAAGGACTGCACCTACCCCCTCCTAAACTTTCTCGCACCACATGTTCTGCTTGCTAGGGGCAAGGATAACCGCGTGCCCCCCGCAGCTGTCGTTATGGGAGAGAGAGTGAGAGTACTAGTAGTACTAGTACTAGTATGATTGCTGATGTTTGATTAGGTTATTGGCTTACTAGCAATCATTTGTAGCAGTGTATGACATTTCTGCAGTGCTAAAAAAACTGTCAGTTTTTTTTTTTTTTTTTTTTTTTGCTACTCCCATTGCTCAGTTTATTAAATCTCTTGAATTTCAGGGTCCCCAGCTTGAATCATTTGAATTTGCAAAGTGTACCTAAAGATTTGACAGGTGCGGCAAATGCTAATGGGGACAGCATCATAGCCTACACAGTGGGGTGGTTCAAAGTACTACCGTATTTTCCGGTGTATAAGACGCGGTTTTTTTCCAAAATTTTCGGAGGTGCGTCTTATACAACGGTGCGTCTTATACGCACTTTTTTTGGTAGTTTTTTGGGAGAAACTCGTGTTGATGCTCATTAGTCTTTCTTTTTAAACCACTAGAGCAGTCCGATGCGAATTATGCATCATAATTATAATAACGAACACTCAACGTGCCGGTACTACAGTTTTAAAACAAAACCAAAGTACATAAAACGGAAAAATTTTAAAAAGTATGTCGTCGTGCGAGTTCTCAGCTCACTGAAGCTGCGCGAGTTTCGGAGGCTGTACCATAGAGAGCTGTACTCAGTGAGTGAAATCGGCGTAAGATGGCGATAGGTGCGCGACGGGGTCGGCGGTTTGGTTCGGATTCGGCCACTACTGCCGCTACCACCGCTACGCTGTCGTTCAGTGAGTTGGACTAGTCGCCATTTGCAACTTCATTCGTTCGGTTGGTCCGCGCCTTTGTTACCTTCACCTGCAGTATGCCGGCTAAACGGAAAAGTTACACGGCGAAGTTTAAGCTTGCTGCTGTGAAGTATGCAGAGGACTACGGAAACCGGGCAGCGGGCCATCATTTCGACGTCACGGAGAAGATGGTCCGCACATGGCGACAGTCGACTGCTAAGCTTCAGGCCATGAAGAGTGACAAGAAAGCTGACCGCGGCAAGAAAGCACGATGGCCAGACCTTGAGGGACGTCTGCACTCATGGATACTGGAGAAGCGTGCCCAAGGTAGGGCGATGTCAACGGTGCAGCTGCGTCTCAAAGCGCAGGCGCTAGCTAAGGAGGTGGGCGCCGTTGATTTTGTTGGCGGGCCGTCCTGGTGCTCCAGATTTATGCGCCGCAAAGCGCTGGCGATGAGGGCCCGCACAAGCATGTGCCAGAATCTGCCAGCAGATTTCAAGGACAAGCTTGAAAGATTCCAGGCTTTCGTTAAGAAAGCCATTGAAGACGATGGCATCGGCAACAGCCATATAATAAACATGGACGAGGTGCCACTTACGTTTGACATCCCAATGGAAAGGAGTGTGGCACCGAAAAGTGACAAGTCTGTCACCATCAAAACTACCGGCCACGAAAAAGCGCACTTCACGGTTGTGCTGGCATGTTGCGCCGACGGGCAAAAACTTCCGCCAATGATTATATTCAAGTGGAAGACGATGCCGAAAGAGTCTTTCCCGCCTGGTGTCGTCATAGAAACGAACGTGAAAGGCTGGATGGACGAAGAGATGATGGGCAAGTGGCTTGAAAAATGCTTTTCTAAGCGACCGGACGGTTTCTTTCATGCGAAGAAGGGCCTCCTGGTATTGGATAGCATGCGGGCGCATATAACGGAGCTCACTTTGAAGCGCATCAAGGCAAAAAACTGCACCGCTGCGGTTATTTCAGGCGGGATGACAAAAATGCTTCAGCCGTTGGACATCTCGGTGAACCGCAGTTTCAAGGCTATTCTGCGGCGCCTGTGGGAGTCATGGATGTCCGACGGCGAGCATAGCTATACCGCAACTGGACGCATGAGGCGTGCTTCGTTTTGCGAGGTCGCAAAGTGGGTGCGCGAAGCCTGGTGTGCGGTGTCACAGGCCACCGTAACTGCGGGGTTCCGCAAGGCAGGCCTGCTAGCATCGTCAGCCCCTGGCCTCGACGACGACGACAGCAGCAGCAGCAGCGATTCCGAAGAGGAAACAGAGGAAGTCCCAGCGTCACTGCCGCCAGAGCTCGCTGAACTATTCCAAAGCGCGTCGGAGGACAAGAACTTTGAGGGCTTTGAGGAATAAAATGTTTTCCTGCAGTCGTGCGGAACGTTTCAGTGGGTGCGCATTATTTTTTCTCGCAAGTTCGGTGTAGTATAAGTTTTCTTACGGACTGGCGCTCAGAAACGTAAGTACGGCATTTTACAATGCTCGCTCAACTGCACGTTATGAAGTTTCTTTGCGGAAAGTGAGTGAATGTAGGTGCGTCTTATATATTAACTTTTGCATGAAAACTTGCGAAAACTGGGGGGTGCGTCTTATACAAAGGTGCGCTTTATACACCGGAAAATACGGTACTTTTATGGAAATAGCAGTGCTTATGTTCACTCTGAATATTTTAAATAATGTTCAATGGTTTGTACATATTCTTTTTTTCATGAAAGCCTTTTCAATGCTTCTCCAAATTTGATCTATCGTGATCAAAAAATGGATGCTTTTTGCCGTAACCTTCTCCAAATTTGGATTTTAGTGCTCCAGCAGTAAAATTTTGCCGCTCCGAATATTGCTCCTAATTCTATTTCGGCTGTTGCACCCGTGAGTACATTTGGAGCATTGTTGCCTGCATAAGTAGCATTTTGTTGTAGTAAAGAACCGTGCGCTAGTGACGGCTGTGTTCTCACTCAATTGAGAAAAGGCAGCGCTGAGAAGGAAGGTATTCGTCACAGCTGCCTTGATAAAAAATTTGGCATATTTTATGATGTGAATTATTTTACACTGCTTAAAGAGACCCACAACTGGCCAGAACGGGTGATTAGATTTTGGTGGAAAGGAAAAGAGCATGAATTATTGTGAGTGGTTACAGCCTACATTTCACAATCTG